AGTTTGGATTAATTTTTTCATTCAATTTCTACATAAGATATTGAAGAAAAAATATAAAAAAAAAAAATAAAAAAAAAAAAAAAAAACATAATACAAACACTGCAAAAAACTATGCAAAGACCTGATTTCATAATACAAATACGTAAGCAATCTTTATGATTTGGTCATATAAAAAATACTACCTCCGTTAACTATTATTTGCAACAAAGGAATATTTTATATCTCACAAATAATACCCCTTTGTTGCAAATAATAGTTAACGGAGGTAGTATATATAATAAAGCTCATTTTATTCCGTTCGAAATTCAAATAAACAAGAGGCATTGTTGAACTAGTTAATAAATTAAAAAAAAACATAGTAGTGATTACACTTTATTCAAATTAAACTAATGACATATTTTGGAACACTCTAAGGTTTTACTATATCCTTCATTTTCACAGTAGACGGAGGAGTAGTTTCCATTGCAATAGTTTCAGCAACCATAGAGCTTTCTCCTTCCCTCTTCTTTTTAACCCAAACATTGTTTTTAAATTTAGGGATTGGGGTCTTTGCAACTTGTTTTCATTTTCCTTTAACAATTGTTGGGGTCTTCTTGTGAGTATTTGGTGAAGGTTCTTTACTCTTCATCCCTTATTCCGCAGGTGTCGGAGGAGCCTTTCTCTTTGGTTCCTTCGAACGAGCCTTAGGAGATGAGAAATCTAATTTCTTCTCACTCCTTTTTTTTGGCCACTAGGAGCAGTGGTGGGTGCCGAATGCATCAAAGGTTTGGGTGGATTGCGAGCCGAGGCTTCTTGATTTTGTGATCGAGCCTTGTTTAGCTCACCCTTGTCCGCCGCATTCATCCAACCCTTGTAGAAGAAGGATAACACAATACTCGCGGTTGGATTTGTACTACCCATCTAGGGAGACTTGACCAGTATTCCATCCAACAAGGAATCCATTAAGGTTTAAAAATCACATCTTTAGGGGCATCACAATCCTGAGGGGGGACAACGTTTTTCATTCTGTATTGTCTCATCACCCCACAAGGAAAAATGTAAGTAGTACTAGATAGCCCTAAAAGCTTAATATAGGGACAATTAAAACTATTCCCAACCCTACTACTTATGTTCCACCAAGGAATCACAAAGCGTATGTTGGGAACCCCATGATAGAAAAACGACTTCCATTCTTCTTCATTCTTGTGTTTGTAGAGAATTCGACGTCTAGGGAATGTTCTCACTCCATGAGCCTTAAAATTTTCTGGCTATTCGACAATTTGAAAGCGCTCCATGAGCCAAATCTGAAAAAAAAACGAAGAAAATTATTTTGCTACATTACACGAGTAGGTGGCGCTGATGAGTGTCATTTATGGCACTCATAGGGTAGTCTTTTAGGATGATTTCATTTCCTTTTCATGCTTTCTTATCTTATTTTTGGTCCTTTTTCCTTTAGTTCCTTTCTTTCTTTCTTTCTTTCTTTCTTTCTTTCTTTGTGTTTTTCGTGTTTTTCTTCGTGTTTTCCTTTTATTTGGTTCTTTTTCCCTTTTATTCCTTTCCTTTGTTTGTTCTTGTAGGTACCTAGGAGTTGTCTTTGCAAGGGGATCAAGACAAGCTATATTGACTAAGCAAGGAGGAAGCAATCTGCTCAGAGAGGGCTTGGAGAGAGCATCAAGTCTTTCTAGGTTGTCGTAGGCGCGAATCCTGAAGGTCGCGGGCGCGGGCTTGATTGTACCAAATTAGCCAATTTCGACCAGGAACTCTCTGCGGTCTGGTCGTGGGCTCCCCTCGGGCGCGGGTAGATTGGAGAGAGCGCTCCATATTAGAGATATCGTGGCCCTCTGATCACCCTTTGGTAATAAGGGATTCGCCGCGCCCTTGCCACGAGCGCGGGTGTTGCCCAGATAGCCCAAGGAGTTTTTTATGGGTTTCGTTCCCATTTCCCCGCGGGCGCAAAATTTCTTTGAGAGGGCGTGGGGATCCTGTTTTCCTTCTTTGCCTATAAATACACTTGTAATTCCTTTTTGAAAACTAACTTTTGGGTAATTTTCATTAGCTTAGTTTTAGAGAGAGAAGTTAGAGAGAATTTCTTGGTTTTGGATTTGTATATCAACATTGGATCAATTGTGCTTGGATTTCTTCATCTTCAATCATTAATATTAGTGAGAATCTCTTCTTTTAGTTCATCTCTTTACTTGTTTGTTTTAGATTCATGTTTGATTGTTTGATTTCCTTGGATTTGAATTTAATATTGTAGTTGATATTGTTTTCTCTTGATTTTGATTTAGAATGATGATTAATGCAATTTCTAGTGATTTGTTCTTGAGTTACACCATGATTAGTGAGTAGATTAGTTGCTAGGGAGAAGGGGAAGCATGCTTGATTGATATTTTGTGCTAGTTGATAATCATTGATTGATTGAATTGTTGGTTGACATAGTTTTGCATGTGATTAATTAGATTAGGAGTGATCAACCTATAAGATTAATCTAGATTGCATTGCAATTCTTAATGACATGAACCATCAATTTGAGAATTGCTTTAATTGATTGAGTTTGATTGTGAATTTCCTTGATTAGCTATTCATAGTGACCACTAGCTTGGCCTCTAGGAAATAGCTCTTGCATTCTCTTGATTGCTACTATTGTTTGTCCTTTGCAATGCTTGAATCAATTAAATGAACAATCAGTTAGCATGACTATTGAACTTGCATGTGGAACCTATATCCCTAGTGTTTAGTTTCTTGAATTACTTGATTAATCTAGCTTTGTTACCATAGTACCAACCATTTTCTCACTACAATCTTTGAAGTAGCTTGATTTAGGCTATAGTTAATACCGACTCACTCCTTTGGGTTCGACCCTATACTTGTCTTATACTTGTATTAGGTTGGTTTAGGATATTATAAATTGTGTTTGATTTTGGGATAGACAATTGACGACTCGTTTATTCCTCTATCAAAATGGCGTCGTTGCTGGGGAGTGATATTGGTGCTTAGCTTTAGGTGTTGAGTCTATTTCAGTTTAATTGAAAAATACAAAAATATTGTGTTTCTTAAGGCTACATTTGTAGCCGTGTTACTAATATTTTCATTGAGTTTTGCATGCCTAGAGCTCGTGATCGATCCATTATGCCTTTTGACCCGAAAATCGAAAGGACTCTCTCAAGGAGAAGAATTGTTTGTCGATCTTTAGAGTTTAGTTCCTCAAACGAAGAAGGATTTGAAGAAGAACTAAGCATGGGAGAACAACCAAGAGTTGCTTTGAAAGAATTGGGAATTCCCACTGCGTACAAGTTTGAGAGTGGAATTGCTCCACCTACAACACCCGCGAATGATTTTGAAATTAGGCCGGCTATGATCGCTTTGATCGAGAGGAGACAATATAGCGGAGCTAAGAATGAGGCTCCGTTGAACCATCTCAAGGAGTTCGAAAAATATTGCAACACTATCAAAGTAAACGGAGTTTCTCAAGAGTTCATCCGGTTTAAGTTGTTTCCCTTTTCTCTCATAGGCCGAGCCTTGGAGTGGTTGGATAAGGAGGTAAAACAAAACTCCCTAAGAACATGGGACGAAGTCACCAAGGAATTCTTGTCCCGATTCTACCCACAAAAGAAAACGGCGAAGGCTAGAGCTTTGATTCAAGGGTTCAAGCAAAGACCTAATGAAAGCCTTTACGAAGCATGGGAGAGGTATAAAGAGTACCAAAGGGAGTGTCCCCACCACGGAATTCAAACCTATCAAGTCATTCAAATTTTCTATGGTGTCCTAAGTCCTCAAGGCAAATCATGCCTTGATGGGGGAGCCGGAGGTCCCATTATGAATAGGGCGGAAGAAGAAGAGGTGGGCATTATTGAGGATGTGGTGAAGTACTATAGAGATTGGAAAGATGGTGAGAGGGATTCAACTAGCAAGAGTGGCACTTCGGTGTACTCTATAGACCATCTAAATGCGATCAACAACCTATCCTCACAAATGACAAACTTAGGGAAAGAAATGACAGCAATCAGGCCAAGTTGGAAAGCTCCTCTTCTTTTCAAGCTTTGAATCTTCCATCCCAATTTAAGGGGAAAGGTAGTCTTTCTAACTCTCAACCGCCTCCCTCCTCAAATAATATGCTTAGTGGTTTCTTGTTTTGTGATGCATGTGGATCTTATGATCATGACTTTTGTAATTGCCCTCATGTTTCTCTGGAATGTGTTGATGATTTTGATAATAATGAGAGTGAGCATGTGAATTATGTGTCAAATAATAATGTGAAAAGGTTTGATAATCAAAGGGGTCAATGGATTAGGAATTACCAAAACCAAGGTAATTTTGACAACTATAACTAAGGCGGTGGTTATAAGAACCAAGGGAACCAAGGTTCTCGTGGTAACTATAACAATTAAGGTTATAGTAGTCAAAATTAAAACCAAAATTATGGTAATCAAAACCAAAGTTATGGAAATCATAACCAAGTTAGTGGAAACCATAATCAAGGTTATGGTCAAAATCAAAATAGGGGTAATTGGAACAATCAAGGTAGGGGAAATTTTCAAAATAATTCTCAAAGAGGTCCCCCACCCTGATTTGCTCCAAAGACTCAAGGTGAAAATTCCTATTCACAACCTTCTTATTCTAGGACCAATTTGGATGAAATAATTGAAAATCAAACCAAGTTGTTGAACACATACATGGTCGTTAGTGACAAGAAATTCAATGAGATGATGACCTATAATAAAATGCTCAAAAATCAAATTTCTCAACTTTCTAATGGTTTGAAAGACCAAGCAAGCCCTTATTCTTTACCTTCCTAAGGCCTAGATCCCAAGAAACCCGTGAATGCTATTGTTACAAGGAGTGGTAAGGTTCTTGAGGAGAGATTGCCTAGGAAGAGTGAAGACAAGGAGGTTCCCAAGGAAGCTTTGGTTGAGAATGAGGGAGATAGAGCATCTTTAGATTAGGTTGTGGTTGAGACACCTAAAGAGGTGAGAGTAGAGAAAGAGATTGTGAAACCCAAGCTCCCTTATCCCCAAACATCCATGAGACACAAATTGGATGAGCAATTTGGGAGATTTATTGATATGCTCAAACAACTTCACTTTTTTCTACCTTTCATCGATGTGATCAACCAAATGCCTAACTATGCCAAATTCCTCAAAGACATTTTGAGTGGGAAAAGGACTTGTGATGTTGTGGAGACTATCAACTTGACTGAGAATTGTAGTGCGATCCTCATGAACAAAATGCCACCCAAGTTGAAAGACCCCGGAAACTTCTCTATCCCTTGTGCTATTAACAAGATGCAAATTAATAATGCCTTATATGACTTAGGAGCTAGTGTAAGCCTAATGCCATATTCAGTTTATCAAAGATTTGATCTAGGGGAACTCTTACCTTCTAACATTACCTTGCAACTAGCCGATAGATCAATCAAGTTTCCAAAAGGTAAAGTGGAAGATGTTCCATTGAGGGTTGGAAAGTTTGTGTTCCCGATGGATTTTGTTGTACTGGAATGGATGAAGATGCTACTATTCCTATCATTCTAGGTAGACCCTTTCTTTCTACCTCAGGTGCTATGATAGATATCTAGAGTGCAAAGATTTCGCTTAAGGTAGGAGATGAGGTCATAGAATTCGATTTGAATGAAAGCATGAAATATCCAAGTTATTCTCTAGAAAATTGCATGATGATTGACTATCTTGATCATGTTGTGTCTTCCATGCATGAGCACTTTCTCACCTCTAACGATGCTCTTGAGAATTTTTTGTTGAACAAAGATAAGCTAGGTGCACCATGCAAGGAGATGGAATTGTATGAGGAATTGCTTAATGGAAGCATGGAGGAAGTGGATGAACAAATGTGTTTGATGATCTCAAGCCATGAAGCTTTGCAAGCGGCCGCAACAAAATAAGGTAAAGGTGTGCCTATGGTAGAGCTCAAACCTCTACCATCACACCTTAGGTATGAATTCTTAGGCCCAAATTCCACTTACCTCGTAATTGTTAGTGCATCCTTGAGGAAAGCCAAGCTCAAGCTTAATGTTGTGTCTTGAGAAAGCACCAAGGTGCTTTGGGCTATACTATTGATGATCTTAAGGGTATAAGCCTCGCTTTGTGTACACACCACATAACGCTTGAGGAAGGCACCCTTCCTTCTATTGAACGACAAAGAAAGCTACACCCTCAAATGGGAAAGGTGGTGAAAAAAGAGATCACCAAGCTTTTGGATGCGGGAATCATATTCTCCATTTCAAGCTCTAGGTGGGTCTCTTCCGTTCATGTCGTTCCTAAGAAGGGGGGTATGTTCGTAGTCAAGAATGAGAGAGGTGAGCTCATTCCAACTAGGACGGTCACCGGTTGGAGGATGTGTATACACTATAGACGTCTAAGTACATCCACCAAAAAGGATCAATTTCCCCTTCCATTCATTGATCAAATGTTAGAGAGACTAACAAGGCACAAGTTTTATTGCTTCCTTGATGGCTATTTGGGATTTTTCCAAATCCCAATCCACCCCGAAGATCAAGAGAAGACAACGTTTACATGCCCCTATGGGATCTTTTCTTATAGGAGAATGCCCTTTGGCCTTTGTAATGCCCCCGCAACTTTCCAAAGGTGCATGATGAGTATTTTTGGAGACATGTTGGAGGAAGAAATGGAGGTATTTATGGATGACTTCTCCGTAGGTGGGGTTTCATTTGAAGAGTGCCTTGTGAATCTTGAGAAATGTTTGGCACGGTGTGTGAAGGTTAATCTTGTCTTGAATTGGGAGAAGTGCCACTTCATGGTGGAGGAAGGAATAGTGCTTGGACACATGATCTCTCGTAAAGGAATAGAGGTGGATAAGGCCAAGATCGAGGTTATTAAGAAGCTTCCACCTCCAGTGAATGTCAAGGGAGTAAGATCATTTCTGGGACATGCAGGCTTCTATACAAGATTCATCAAGGATTTCTCACTCATTGCCAAGCCTCTTAATTATCTTCTTCAAAAAGATGTTGATTTTGTTTTTGATGGTAAATGCTTGGAGGCATTTAATAGATTGAAGGAGGCCCTAATCTCTACCCCATTGTTCAAGCCCCAAGTTGGAATTTACCCTTTGAATTGATGTGTGATGCTAGTGATTAGGCAATTGGAGGTGTTTTGGGACAACGTGTGGACAAGAAGCTTTATGTGATTTACTATATGTCCAAGATACTAAATGGGGCCCAAAAAAATAACACTACAACGGAAAAAGAATTCTTGGCCATTGTTCACTCTTTTGAGAAATTCTGGTGTTATTTGTTGGGTTCCAAGACCATTGTCTTCACGGATCATGCGGCTCTCAAGTATCTCTTTGCCAAGAACCAACAGAAGAAACTCAAGAGGGAGTTAAGACATTACTTGTGGGATGATCCCATCTTGTATAAACGAGGGGTTGATGGCTTTCTTAGGCGTTGTGTTCCAAATGAAGAGGTGCCTAGTGTTCTAAATATGTGTCATTCGGATCCTAGTGGTGGTCATATGGGTGTTTCCAAAACCGCTACTAAGGTTCTCCAATGTGGTTTGTGGTGGCCACATCTCTTCAAGGATTCATGGGGCTTCGTAAAGTCATGTGACCGATGTCAAAGAGTTGGGAATATCTTCAAGCGGAATGAGATGCCTCAACAACCTATTCTTGAGTTGGAGGTGTACGATGTATGGGGGATTGACTTCATGGAACCATTCCCATCTTCATATGGGAATCAATTCATACATGTGGTTGTGGACTATGTTTCTAAATGGGTTGAGGCCATTGCTTCCCCAACAAATGACCACAAAGTAGTCTTAAAGTTGTTCAAAAAAATCATCTTCCCAAGGTTTGGTGTGCCTAAGGCGGTGATAAGCGATAAAGATTCTCATTTTGTTTATAATGCCTTCCAAATGATGTTGAGGAAACATGGAGTTCATCAACGGTTCGGCCTTCCATATCATCCTCCAACGAGTGGCCAAGTCGAGGTCTTCAATCGTCAAATAAAGCTTATTCTTGAGAAGACGGCTGCAAGGAATAGAAAGGATTGGTCGGACAAGTTAGATGATTCTCTTTAGGCCTATAGAATGGCTTTCAAGACACATATTGGAACCACTCCATATTGGCTTGTCTATGGCAAATCATGCCATCTCCCGGTGGAGCTTGAACACCGTGCTTTGTGGGCAATCAAGAAGATAAACTTTGATTTAGAGAGTGCGGGGGAGAAAAGGTGGTTGGACCTTCATGAGCTAGAGGAGCTTAGACTTGATGCTTATGATTGTGCCAGCACCTACAAACCTCGTTCCAAGGAAGCTCATGATAAGCTTATTGAGAAATAAGAGTTTTGTGTTGGTGATAAAGTCCTCCTCTACAATTCAAGAATGAAGTTATTTCTCGGAAAGCTCATGTTAAGATGGAGTGGCCATTTCTTGGTGCAAGATGTTTTTGCTAATGGTGCCGTAGAGATTTGTTCTTTAGATTCCTCATCTTCTTTCAAGGTTAATGGTCATCGGCTCAAGAGATATTTTGATGGAGTGTTTGTTGGTCTTATTCATTAAATGATTCTTTTCAAGCCACCTTGAGTGGGGTAGTAAACATCGAGCTAACGACATTAAACAAAAGCGCTTACAGGAGGCAACCCGGATTCTCACCTCTACTCTCTTTTCTTTCCTTTCTTTTATTTTTCTTTGTTAATTTTTGCTCTTACTTTTCCTTGTGTTTTTGGTTTGTTTCGTAGGTTGCCTTCATTCATCATCTATGGACTTAATGTGTTTGATAAGGATGGCAAAAGGAGAATTTGGAGTGTAGGGGAGAGGGCACCTCGCGGGCTTGGAGAGGCCTCGGGTGCCTTTGTTTTAAAAAGGGGAAAATCGGATCAGGAACTCTCCGCGGGCGCGGGTGCCTAAGAAAGCGCGCGGGGAGAATTAGAGAGGGCGCGACCTATTTTCTCAAAAATGGATCAAGAACTCTCCGCGGTTGCCCCACGGCCGCGACAATTGTGGAGAGGGCGCGGCGAAGTGGGGAGAGGGCGCGGCCCCATTAAAGGTAAAAAAATATATTTTTTTCCAGAATAGACCTGCGGTTTCCCCGTGGTCTCTCCGCGGGCGCGGGCTAATCACCGTGGGTGCGGCAATGTCGGGAGAAGGCGCGGGCACCTGGGTTACATAGTAACCCGGCTTCCCCCCTCTCTCTCTCCTCTATTATTTTTCAATTCACCCTTATTTTTCCCCTTTCTCTCTCTTCCTCCTCTCAAACCCTAACCCCCAAATCATCTTTCTCACACAAATTCACTCAAATTCATCCTTGTTTTGACACAATTTTCCATCACAATTTCCTTCATACTCCATTTTCATCAAGATTACTCTCTTTTCTGTGGTTTTTTGGAAAATTCGAGTTCTAGACGGGTTTTTGAGCTTACTTTGAGTATTCAATCTTGGTATACTTCTAACGTTTGTTTTATTTTTGTCAATTTCAATTGATTATTATACATTGGTTTTGGTTTTCCTTGATTAAGCATGACTATGATATTTTTGGTAGTTTGTTTAGTGATTTTGGAATTATTTTGAGTGACTTGTGCTTATTCTTGTGATGAATTGTTAATGTTATTTGGTTGTTGTTGGATTTTTTGTTGTTTTTTTGCTTGTAACAGGTACTTTGTAGTTTATGGTGGTTTTGGGTGGTATTGTGAAGGTGATTTGAAAAATTGGTGGTAGTGTTGGTGTCGATTTTGGGTGTTTGTGTGATTTCTTGTGTTGGTTGAGCTTGAGACTATGGATTTGTTAAGGAAAGTTATGAGTAGCAAGAAAAGTTCAAACCAATCCCCCGGCCAATCCTCCCAAGGCCAATCCACTCGTAGCCAACCTTCAAACTCCGAACCTCCTCAAAACCAAACCGCTCAAGATGATACCCCACCTCCTCCTTCACCTCCTCTCAAATTTTACAATCGGTCTAAACATGTCCCTATCTATAACAAAATGAAATCCCGGAAATTTAGACCTACCTGTAACTATCTTCTCGATGATATGGTCAAATTAGGAGTTGATGCCGATCTTGACATCTTACTCTAGAACCTTGGTTTGGATGAGTTTGTAAAGTCATCTTTGCAAACCTATTTGGAACCGTGCATTGAGTTTTTCTCCACCTTTGAGTACAATAGGACGGGGGATACCGACTATATCATCTCTTTCCAAATTTTCAATTCCAAGCATACCATGAACCTTGCAGAATTCAATAAAGCCCTTGGCTTCAACCCCAATACCGACATTTGTGAGCCCTTGATTGCCCTTCTCAAGTCCGATTACAATGAGGTTGCATGGTGGAGAGCCATAGCTAAAAAGAAGGCGTTTAACTCTAAGGAATCACTTGCTAGTGTGATCATTCACCCAGCTCTTAGAATTCTTCATCGGGTTCTTGGCTATGCTGTGTTTAATAAGCAATATCTTAGGAACTTTCGAGGGAGGAGATCTTAGTTCTTTGGATGGCTACAAGGCCTAATTTGGGGCCGAGGTTGAATTTTGGGTAAATTTCATGAATTGCTGTCAAGTAATCATTAATGGGAAGA